CAGCAATCGATGCAATCGACGCCTTTGAAATCGATAGAAACAGCAATCGATGCAATCGACGCCTTTGTGAAGGGGAACGAAGGGTGTCGATTGAAATCGATACCGCCGATTGAAATCGATACGGCCGATTGAAATCGATACCGCCGATTGAAGTATGCGGTGGAAGCGAAGAAGGGTTTTGAGAGGGTAGATAGGTAAAATATTTCCTGTTCTAGTTAGTTCCAGGGGGGTAAGGGTGGACAGGTTTGTCCCACCCGTGTTCTAGCTAGTTCTAGTGAGTCCCACATAAGGCCACACCAAACATAGGACAATTGTGTTTTGTCCTGTCCTGTCCCACCCAGTCCAACGTACCAAACGCATCCTAATAGATTCCTTAATTTTTTTTTTAAACTGAACCAAAAGTCAAGATCCCCAATAAAATATTTTAAAGAATCTAACATTAATTACAATATTAAAATATTTAATTAATTTATTAAAATATTATTTTTATATCTAAATATTTATTTTCAAAATTTTTTTGTTGGTATTTTCATTTTGTAATTATTTTGAGGTGATCACAGTATTTGAAAAAAAAAATCTTTGGAAAAGTTATTGAAGCAAAATATTAATTTAAAATTTATATTTATATTTATATTTTATTTTAGAGAAGTTTTAAAGATATTTTAATAGAATTAAATATAATATTTGAAATTCTTTAATTTTATAATTTAATTTTCTTAAAAAAAAGTGAAAAATCTTTTTGGAGGGGTAAAATATTTTTACACCTACAAATCAAATGCATATCCAGCAATCCTCATAATTATACTTCCAAAATGTCATTAATGCAACACCTACTAAAAAGCCCTTCCATAACCTTCAACCACTCTCCTATTATTTTATAAGTATCTATTAGAATTTTATCCGTTCAACACATAAAACATGAAAAATATTTATATTATATTATAAAGCATTTGACAAAAACTCTTAAAAACTATTTTTATGTATAAAGTACTACTTATTGATACATATTACTTTAAATTCAAGATTACAAGTAAATTATGTATAAGTACAACTTATTATATTTCATATTTGAATTCGTATAACTAATTATAGATTATCTCATTTTAAATATATCTAAAATATAATTAGGATAATTATTGAGTTTCAACAGAATACTTAGTTATTATCTTTATAAAAATTATATTATCAAACCAAATTTTTTTTAATTAAAGAAATTATATAAAAAATGAGAATTTATATATATATATATATATATATATATTTTTAATTTTAATGATATTTTCAAATTTACATTTTATCAAAAAAAAAAAAAAACATCATTCGTTGCTCAAAACCATATAAATCCGTATTATAACATCGATAAAGACCAAAAAAATAAAATGAAACATTGAAATCGAGATATATCTCGTTGCATTGTACGAATATTCTAGTAAAATTAAAAATGTTTTCATCTCCAATCCATATGTTATTAGTGTTTTTTAATAGTTGGTTTGGAGATAATTTTACTCATATTTTTATCCATCAGCGTACTTTTTTGTTTTACGCATCCGTAACTCTTTCTCAGTTAGGATGAGACAGAATAACATAGCAAATACAAGTAAAAATAATAAAAATCCTTCAATCAGTAAAAACAAAATATTTTTTATCATACGTACATTGACTTGCAGTTTCTTGATTATTTTATCAAAAGTGAGAGATGGCTACAAAGTAATTCCCCCCTGTATAATGACCACTAGAACGATATTCGCGCAATACATCGAGATACATCTTGATTCTAATGTTTTGTTTTATTATCTGTCTCTATCGATGTTATAATACGGTTTTATATGGTTTTGAGAAAACGGTAATGTTTTTATTTTTGAATAAAATGTATATTTTAAAATATCATAAAAATTTGAAAAAAATATATCGAAATTAGTAGTTCTCGTTCTTTTACGTATTTTCTTTTTATTATAATTTGATTTAAGGTAATTTATTTTTGATTTAACAATATAATTTTTTATAAAAATAATAATTAAGCATTATGTTACAACCCAATTACATATATATTTTGTGGACTTATAACTAATTTCTATATTTAGTCCTTGTAATGATTATCGTTATTTTAGGAGAGAAATAAGGAAGAGACATAATTTACCATAAAAAATAATTATTTTAAAATTTTCTTAAAAAATTAATATGAACGCGGTTGCAGGGTAGTCGATAAATCAACCGAAAGCAAGGACATTTTCGTAACTTTGCACTCTCAGAAAACGTTACAAGAAGTAAATGACATAAATACCCTCATCCACGATAGCGGCTCCCGTTGTATTCTCTATTAATTAATTAAAAAAAAACCTCTTTTTAAATTCAACCGAAGTCTGCTCCTTCTACTTAAATTCAGTGCTGTAAATTCCTTAAATTCTCTCTCTCTCCGAACGCTCCGGTCGCCGGAGTTATTTATACGCTGCTACGGCGGTTCTGGAAGCAATAGTGGTGGTGGCACCGTAACGATGAAGCTTTGTTTGGGGATTTATACGGCGGTGGTTTGTTTTCTGGCATGCTTTTTTGTTTCGTCTTTCTTCTCTGTTTTTATAAAATTACACTGAAAGAACATAGTTTCTATATACATTTGGATGTGTTTCAGTTAGGATGAAAATAGTGCGGTATCTGCTTCAATGTATATTTTTAGAATATGAATTTGTAGATGACCTGTTTTCAGTCGTTATCATTGGATTTTGATGTGTATTGATTGGAAGGGATTTGTTTTTTTAAATCAAGTTGATTGGTTGAAGTTTATTTAAATGTTGAGAAGATAATATGACATTTTCTTGTTTTTGAAGTTACGAAGGTGTTTGTGATTCGCGATCATTCATCAATCAAGAGTTTATGAATTTCATCTCTGTTTTGAGAAGAATGGGGTTTTGTTATTTATTTTGGATTGATAATTTACATGAATTTTTATTATTTTTGAGGAGAAGGAGAAGGAACGTGTCTACTATAAATTATTATAAATTTTTTGAAGTTATTATCAATTTTCAACACTGAAATTTGTTAGTTTCTTTGACTCTGTATGCGTCTGCTACTTCTCTGTTTTTTAAACTTCAATGGGATAAATCTAGCGGTCAAGGTCACAAGGAAACAGTATTTTGATACTAGCTTTGTTTTTTGTTTTTTCCTCTCTCAACTTGGAGAAACTTAGGGTAGGTCGTTCATGCAATTTTGACTTGAATTCTTGATTTGGGGGATCCGATTTGACTAGTTCTTTTTCTTCTTTCTACAAATTAATCACCGATTTTTTTTTTCTTTTCTAGCAGCAATACCTTTTATTTGTTTCTAATAAATAATTTAAAGTTGCCATCAAAATTTCTTGAACTTGAGAGTAAGATTGTTGAATCGTCCAAATCAGATGGTGGACCTTCTTCTATCATGTCTCATGTGTGTCGAGGAGTGCACTAATCTTTAGGTTTTACAGCTCATGCTTCATTAATAACTATGATTAGTATTTACTGAAAAATGAAATCTTGATTGAATTTGTTAATATTAATCTTGATCTGGGTCTATGGATCTCTCGGATCGATGAGTTCATTTCCACCATTAATGGTGAAGTTCTAAAAACATTTATCTAGTTGCAAGTATCTCTGTCCTCATTGAGGCCTGGTTGCTTACACATCACTTCATCTATTATTTAGAGAATGTTTACCAATTGAATGAAGTCGTTTTCATCACAAAGAAACATATTGTATAATGTATCCGTGATCCCCATTCCAAATATATTTAATAAATATGATAGGCGATGACAGCAATATTGTTTGGATGACTGGAATACAAAAATCTTTATTTATTATTCAGGTCTCTTTTTTGTATATATTTGAGCATTATGTGCGGCAATGCGATTGTTAAACAAGTTTTTTCCTGCAAAATGTCATTGACCTATGTAGCTAAGTTCTTTTTCCTATCTCTACCAAATAAAAGATGCATGGAATAAGTTGCTCTTTCATAGTTCATTCCTTTAGTGTCAGAGCTTTTAGAGACAGTTGATATGTGCATTTGTGATGGAAGAAACTTTTTGTTATGATTAAAATATCATTATTGCAGAAGACTTGGGAAATAAAAACAAGGAGCGGGACTACTGAGTAATACTATGAAAGTGAAGCACGAAAATTGGAATGGAAAATGAAAGACTAACCTGACTTTACAACTCTGAACAAGGCTACAATAGGTAGCATGGTTGAAAATTAAAAGAAAAAAGAGATACGAGAGTGACGTTCTAAACAACACATTGCTAACATGTAGAGAAGTATTGCATGTGTATGCATCTAATTGATTGGCTGGGATACCCAAGTGCATTCTTGATTTCGTATTTGATCATCTCATGAGTTCTTATACGTTACAAACCTACTTTTTCTCACTGCCTACCTTAACCTGATCCACTAGGATATGTATTCTCGCTCTTGTATATTCAATCTGTCAATATCAGTTGATAAAATGTTGAGATATTGAAGTTTACTTGTGGATATTTTCTTGCAGGTCTTGTTGTTTGTATCTATAAGCAATGCAGAAAGGTCTGATACACGAATACTTTTGACATCCAACGCCACATTGAGGTGAATTTTCTTTCTACTGTGTAGTGCTGCAATCAGCTCATTTCCTAGCTTCCAAGACTTTGTTAATAAAGCACTGGCAGGCATGAGTATCTTCCAATATGAGTTTAGAACTTTAGTGTTTTTTATGTAATTTCTCCTCTGCATGGGTTTAGTTGAATTCCCTTGTTTGTAGGCTTCATTTATAGCTACAAATGCTTGAAAATTGTTTTCTTTTCATTTATTTGACGAGGTTGAATTAATTGTATGTGCTCTAGGGAACAACATGGTGAAGATTATTGTGCAATGTATGATATATGTGGAGCACGTAGTGATGGGAAAGTAGTGAACTGCCCTTTTGGTTCTCCATCTGTAAAGGTACTGGCTGTTTTTCTCTTACTGTTGGACACCCACTGCCTTTAGATCTTCTCTGTATCTTCACCCACAATGAGATGCATAAAGTTGAATATGTCTTCTTGTTGGATACATTCCGTTGAACCATCATAGTTCATATTCTTCCACTACATATTTCATTCAGATGGTCTTGCTCCAGTCATCATATCTGCAGTCCTCACTTTTATTTGCTATTTTACTGTGTATTTATTTCACCACAATTGCGCAACTAAAAGAATGTAATTCTAATGATACTCAAGAAGATCAAAATAGTAAGGAACGATATCAAGAATTACCAGCACACAATCAAATGAATATGAACATATTTGGCATTAAAATTGCACGTATTTCACTAGCTAATGCTGTTTGTCTGTTTTCCAGCCAGATGACCTCTTATCGGCTAAGATCCAGAGTTTGTGTCCAACCATTTCTGGGAACATATGCTGTACAGAGGCTCAATTCGACACATTGCGTGCACAAGTCCAACAAGTAAGATGTTTTGCTTAACCTTATAACTTCTAAACAGTGCATGATTCCTAGTGTTTCCACATTACTATGATTACTTGCAGAACTCACTGCTGATTTATGAAGGTTGTATCCTTTAACAGCAATGGTAGTATTGCTGGTGTTTGTGGCACTTTATGCCTGATGCAGTAGATAGTAAATTAAACCGGCCTTATTTAAGATAGTACCAAATATATGCATACAATAGGTTCTTTATGAACTCAGCATATGTTAGAATCGTGTGTGCGTTGTGGCTGATTATTAAAAGTTAGTGTTTTAATTTAAGAAAATGACTTATCCCCTATATAATAAGGAAATTATTTATTCCTATATAGGCAATAATAGTTTTTCAATAATTAGCTACCTTCATACATAGGAGATACAACATAGGATAGTTGGCATGCTTAATTTGATACAGATTCTAGGATTCAATTAAACATCTTTGGGAGAGATGGCCTACCTCTCAAAATTTCACCAACCTTTTTGTTCGTTGTTCATTGTATTCAATAAACTTGTTTGGTTCCAATCAGCATGTCATCCCTTTGAACCTATCAATTCTAATATATCCTTCCTGTCTGTCAGTTATTAATTAATTACAATGGCTGATTGGCTCTAAACCCAAGTCATAAGCACCACAACTTTATTTTATGTACCTTTTTCAGTGGATTCCGTTCCACGCTAACACTTGCTCTCATTCTAAGATCTTGTTATGCTGTCTTTTCTTTTCAGGCCATACCTTTTCTAGTTGGATGTCCAGCGTGCTTACGAAATTTTTTGAATCTCTTTTGTGAGCTTTCATGCTCTCCACATCAGAGTCAATTCATCAACGTGACTTCTATTGCTAAGGTCAGAATAATGCTTGTATTCTTGATCAACATTTTTCATTAGCAACTAGCAGAGCAACTATTTTTAGCTCTTGAGGATTACATAAGTTATGGTGGATCACAAACATTATCTTAGTCACCCAACAGCTTTCCTTGGCACTAAATTTTGTTTTGATTTGTAGTATCATGAAAACATATGCCCACCAGTCTTTATACCTTATAGATTTGTCCATCAAAAAATGATTTTCCTTTTGATTTTAATATCTTGCTTTCAGGTGAAGAATAATTCAACAGTGGGCTCGATAGACTACTATATAACTGACACCTACGGAGAGGGTTTATTCGAATCCTGCAAGGAAGTAAAGTTTGGTACCATGAATTCACGGGCTATTGAGTTTGTTGGTGCTGGTGCTAAGAATTTCAGAGGTGAAACTTCTCTTTTTCTCTCTGTACAAATATTCTAAATTTTGTCAAGCACAAATATTCCGTCTGTCATGAACTTTTTTTTTTTTTGTAAGGGTGTCCGGGCCAAAGCCCGACTAATCCCCGGCAAATTTGGAGGCTAAACATGGCCCCACTTATATGTCGCCAACACTCCCCTCCCAGGGCTCGAACTCGGGTTCATGACTATGTCATGAACTTACCGACACTCCCGCAACATAACTGTGTATACAAGATTAAGATGCCCAGTCTTTCAGTTATTTGTATCGTCTATCAATTTATTGTTAACTTGAAAGTGAAAGGAACATGCTGGACCTTGCTTCCCGCAACTGATTCTTGACATTCCTTGCAGCATCAATGTCACTAACATCGTGTCCTAGTGCACTGCCTAAGCAGTTTTATGCCTATAAAAAAGGCTAATAAAAATGCTGCAATATACAGATTTGTCTTTACAGTGTGAGAACTTAATAAACGAGTTCAATCAGTGAAACCACTTTTTCTTTGCAACCTCACTTGTGTTTTCCATTTTGGCATGCATCTTATGCTATACCCCACTGAACAATTGAGTATTTGCTGCACTCAGTTACAAGTGCTAAAGTGGTAATCCAGTTTTGATCAGTTAAACACATTTGAATGACTAGAGTTAAATTTAGGGTTCTTTGCATGAATGCATCGTAGTTATAAACTGTTTCTTGATGAAACTGACATGTATATAATGTATTCTTTTGTTTACAATGACCAAAATTAGATGCAAAAAGAATCTCAGATTCCAAGTTCAATTTCTAGAAGCTAATCAACAAGGATACACTCATATGAGAATAGGTTCTCTGTATTAAAGCATAAAAGATCATTGTTTGTACTTTATCCAGCTGCAATATCTAAAAAGCTTTTATTAGACAACCATTCCACTTTGACATGCTTCCTGCTGAAAATAGCAGCATAGGAGCTAATGGGTCATGAATAAGATCACTTAAGTTGCATACTCTAAAGGTTGTTCTAGATATTAAGATTGGAGAATTCATCATGATTTTCTGCAAAATGGACATTTCATTGAAAGAAGCCTTTTGCAATGTGGTTGGTTTGTTTAAGATTAAATTGAAAGATTTTCTAGACTTTGTTTTCTATCATCATGCTTCAAATCTTTTATTAGAGAAAGATATCGTACTACTTCCCTGTCAAAATACTTTAGTCCCTACACAAATCATTGATTTAGTTGATGCCTGTAGTATAGTAGTAACACAAGTTAACTACAATATTATTGAAGGGACGAATTAATCTAGCGTAGATATCATATAAGTTTCTCAGTAGCTTACTCATGTGGTCAAGAGTAACTTGCTGTGTTTTTTTTGGCAGAGTGGTTTGCTTTCATTGGCCGAAAAGCGAGCCCTAATTTGCCAGGTTCACCCTATGCAATAAATTTTCGGTCAGATGCTGATGAGTCAATAGGAATGAAGCCTATGAATGTCACGGCTTATTCATGTGGTGACACATCACTAGGCTGTTCTTGTGGTGATTGTCCTTCGTCTCCTGTTTGTTCCAGTTCAGCCCCTCCATCACTTCATGAAAAAGGTTCTTGCTCAGTGAGGATCGGCTCTCTTAAGGTGTGTTAAGACCGGTTACAGGTCACATTCCAACATAAAGTTATGGCTGGTCTATAAATGTTCTTGTTCATGTAAAATCGAAAAGCAACTCAATTTTTAAACGTTCACAACTTAGATCATATCATGAGAGGTGCCATCCTTCTTCTATGCATTTACTGATTCGGTTTTATATCCATGCAGGCGAGATGCGTTGAAGTTTCAGTAGCAATAGTTTATATCTTATTGGCCTCCTTGTTTCTTGGATGGGGCTTGTTCCATAAAAGAGGAGCAAGGAACCCAGCTTTGAGAACCAAACCATTGGTGAATGTGGCTAATGGTGGTCTAGCACAGCAGGTCCGTGGGAAAAAAGATGAGAATCAGGTAGATATGTTTTTATTTAAATCTTTATTGCTGACGCTTTTAATTTAACTGTAAGGCAAGTTATTTTATACCTTTCCTAGACTTTGTTTCTTGCTTTTTGAATCCTGATTTTTCTTTGGGTGTTTGCATGTTGGTGGGGTCTGTTAGGTCTTTACAGACCATATACTGATTACACCTTGCTTATAGATTTTCTTCTTTCACTGCTGTTTAGAGACCCATAACCATGAATCGCTGATCTCATTTTTTTAATATTAGATGTTGGATGATATCCCTCAAATGTCAAGCGGTGTTCAGGTTTCAATTGTGCAAGGATACATGGCGAAAATTTTCAGGTCCGAGCTCATGCATTAGCTAATAGCTACGCAAAGAATAAAACCTCTGATCTTGACTGAGACATTAATTCACAGGTTATATGGAACATGGGTTGCTAGGAATCCAATTCTTGTCTTGTGCTCCTCACTGGCTGTCGTTCTTCTTCTTGGTTTAGGCTTAATCCGATTTAAAGTAGAGACACGGCCGGAGAAGGTATGAACATAGCTTTTCCTCTGCATACTTACTGATTCTAAATACAATTTGGATCAGAATGATTGTTATTGTTATGAACATAGCTTTTCCTTTACATCAGCATTTTAGTTGCCATGTCATCATATTGCTGGACTTCTGTTTTATTGCAGCTTTGGGTAGGCCATGGGAGTAGAGCTGCAGAAGAGAAACTATACTTTGACAGCCACCTAGCACCTTTCTACAGAATCGAGCAGGTGAGGAGGTATCTGCATGCATGATTGTTCTCCATAATGGCACACTTCCATGCTTTACTGTATTTGCATCGAGACATAATGCATCTAACCATTTTATCTGAAATCATGATTTGAAATTTGTTGATTGTTTTTGTGAAAAATGTTTTGCAAGGTGACACCAAAAATAATCCTATGCAGATTTTGTGAAAAATGTTTTGCAAGGTGACACCAAAAATAATCCTATGCAGTATAACATTAGTCATATAGAACTCCTTCCGAACCCAAGTCATGGCTGCAACACTCATTAACGCAAAATATCGGTGTCCATATTCAAATTTATGAGAGAATTTTAGCCCTTCTCATGGTCTTGGCCTCAACATGCGGCTTCTATTTTTTGGTTTTAAGCATGACGCTGCCACTGTATTAGAGCTTAACCTTTTAGATATGATCTTTGTGAGATTCTGGATTCAAATCCTCCACGGTTTTGCTGCTCCTGCTAGAGGTTAATGCAGATGCACCAAGGACTGTCTCTTCACTGTAGGTGTGGGCCACAGTGAGGAGTTAACCGTCATACGTCATCGGACCATCTTTCTGATAGCTTAATCTCTAAGAATTCCATGGATTCTTCAATTTAACAGTAAGAACTCATGTTTGTGGTAATCCTCATTCTTATGTCCTTAGGCTTAACTTCTGATGAAGCTGTCTCCAGCCATTGTCGATCCTGGATTTATATACTAATTAGGAAGAAAAATGCAACTGCTGCAAGTGGTGATACCATATCATGTTGACTGAGCATAATGGTAAAAAGTTCCCTCGCCTGCCAATTTACTTATTCTTTGCGAATTAGACTAGATCATTCCCCAATACAGTGCAATGGAATCAATAACATGTTTTATGCGATCTTTCTTCATGATGCTATGATGATCAGTCTTGTTGGATGCCTTGTGTCAACGACGTTTTAGAGAGATTATCTTCAATAATAAGGTTGTGAAAGTGTCGAGGCTACCAAAATCCATGTGGAAACTTTATTTTCCTTGTGTTATTCCATACTCTCATATTTATGTGCCATCGACACAATTTAATCCTTCATCATGGATAGACAGACAACCCGTGTCTTAACATTCAGGATTCATTTAGATGGAAGCTCTCTAGAGGGTAATTAGAGAGATATCCTAGGACAGGCTGCAAAATCCGTATGAGGATTTTGATCACAATTACAGTCGGTCACCATAAAACCTGTACATCTTGATTTTGGTAATTCAGCTTATAAGGTTTCAATCCTTAATGGCGAGGAGCGCTTCTTCAGAATTCCTAGATGAACTACCCAAGGCTCTAATATTTGTGCTTAACCCAATAATTCAGGATTAAAGGCTTCTCGTTAAACATTTTTTTGTGTCTACTTCTCTAGATATGAGTGGCATGCTACATTGTGATCGTGCTAGTAACAACACTTGATAACATTTTACAGCTCATATTGGCAACCAAACCTCAGGCTCCACATGACAAGCCACCAACTATTGTTACAGAGGGAAATATCAAGTTGCTGTTTCAAATACAAGATAAGGTACTACTCGATTTACTTCTCAGCTATCAAGTTGATATATTCCTTGGTTGCATCATAGGACAGGCATGCCAAGGCCTTTTGGTTCTTCTGTTCAACAATCTATAAATTACATTGTTTTAATAGGTAGACGGAATTCGAGCAAATTATACTGGATCATTGGTTTCTTTGACAGACATATGCATGAAACCTCTGGGCGAGGCTTGTGCCACACAAAGTATTCTCCAGGTAAGGTTTTTTATGGTAATGAACATTGAGAGTAGTAGTAGCCTAAATTTTGTAGTTTTTATCCAAGACTTAAGTCTATATGGAGGCTTTCATAATATAACAAATTACAAGCTAAAGTGTTTAATGCATTTCCTGGTCTATGTATGATAATCGTCACATCCGGAGAGACGTAATATCAAATAAAAAGCAAAAAGAAAGAACTACAATAACTTCGATCTGAAAACATTGAGCTGATTGATTGTATTTTCTCTTTATTACTATTAAACACCATTAGTGCACTCACGCGTTATCTATCTTTACCACCTTGACCTCTTCCGACTTTCACTTGACTTAAGATGGTAATGTCAATACTGTCTGTAATTTTCAGTTTAATTCAATTTAAGTTTGTTTAGTTAGTATGATCCATATTAGGTACTACATACGCAACTTCTCTTGAATTCATTTAGAAATTTATTAGGAGATTAGACACATGCCTTCTTAATCCTTCTTGTACCTGGTATGAAGATGGAAAAGACAAAAACTTGGAATCACAATCAAGACTGAGGAAGCATGACACTCATTAAGGTTTCTCATCTGTGTACACTTAAACATGAAGTCATTGGGGCTTTGGAAGTTCTATATATAGTTTCATTTGCATCAACGTTATGGTTAGGACTCAAAACGGTGAACCTCAACAGTAAATCAAGGGACTGTCCTTTGCCACTTGATTATAAACATGAACTGTAAAGGGAGTGTCCATTGTGACGACTCTACATCCATCCCTTAGTGTCACCAGGTTCTGTTAACTTCACCATTATTGCAACTGCCAACCATACAGGTAGGTCCCTATGTGGACAAGAGGAATATTGTATAAGGGTTATATAGCTCACCAAAACAAACCACGAACGATCCTGTAGATGCCAAAATGCCGAGATCCAATTTTAAGCTCAACCAAAGACAACAAATACGGAATATATGGGTCTAGCAATAAGTAAATGCCTATCCAAGCACACTAACCAACCACAAGCTAAATCCAAGCAGTATTAACCATGAACTAATAAATGTGGTAAAGCAAGTAACACACGATTTAACGTGGTTCCACTACTGGTGAGGTAGTGTTCATCCCCAGGGAGAGAGAGATCCCTTGTATTACGACCTAAAGGGAGTACAAACAACTTACAACGGAGATGATAACAGTCAGAAGAAAACCTTTGGAGTAAGCTCTCCTATGTTCTCTCTAACTAGTTGGAAGAACAAAATCTTGAAGTAACCAAAAAGGGGTGTGAATAAGGCTGAATAACTAATTGACCAAAAACAAGGGGGAGGCAGGTCCCGAAATTCTGCCTCGAATTCCCCCAGGTGTCCTATGCAACTAGTGTATGCGACCTAGGGTCGCATACACAGGTCGCTCGTGCAAATTTCCCCTATCGGCGATGTTTATCGTTTGATGTGGCTAGCTGGCTAATTTTGTACCAAAGCCTTTGGCCTTCTATGCAACTTGGCAACCTCGCGTGGGGCTTGTCGCATACGGTCATCACACATCGTGAAATTTGTACCTTATGTTTCCATCATAGGGGGTATTGAACCAAGCTGTCAGGTCGCATAGCCAGGTCGTACACAAAGGGATTTGGGCAGCATCTTCAATTTTGAACATGTTGTATGTAAAGTTTCTTAGCTTTCCATAATCTGTGCAATAGAAAATCTTGGTTGATACGGTTCAAAAAGTTGTATTTTCTTTTCCTGAACTGAAGCAAAATGTGCAAATTACTTTTGGCACTTTTCACTTATTGTCTAATATATATCTACCTGCTGCTTGATTGGTTGATATGTAGTTCATTAAACTGGTTTTCTATGTGCCTTGTTGTGCTGACACAGCATATGCAATTGCACCATATGTTCTTTACCATCTAACGATTTCTCTTTTACTTTTATGTTGTAGTATTTCAAAATGGATCCTAAAAACTATGATGACTATGGTGGTGTTGAACACGCTGAATACTGCTTTCAGGTATACATACATAGTGATATCTCCATGGCTGAAAATATGTGTTATTGTCAGGATTACTATTCTGTTGACTAGATCAGCAGGCCCATGTTGAAACCTATGAAGAACTAAGTTTTAAATGGAATTTGATATATCATGTTTGCAGTTGGTTTGGGTGTCTGTATCTTGCGACTTATAGTTGTACTACTATATTCATGTAACATTATTTTTTTGTTTGCAATAAGTTGGTGATGCGTAATTTTGTGTCACTAATTGCCTCACAAGGATATAGTTATCTTTTTCACACTTCCTTTTTCTATGGATGGGTTGTACTTCTTTTTCTTGGTATTATGAAAATTTAAGCCGTCTGACAAAGGTTAATTGGATAATTTATCCTAGCATTACACTTCTGATGAGAACTGTATGAGTGCATTCAAAGGCCCATTAGAACCAAGCACAGCATTAGGAGGTTTCTCCGGTAACAACTACTCTGAGGTAATTCAGTGATCTATCTTATTTACACATGTACATATGTTTTATAGTGACCCCATAATGATGATTTAAAGACAGGCGTCTGCATTTATAATAACTTACCCCGTGAACAACATGATCGATAAGGAAAGCAATGAAACTAAAAGGGCAGTGGCTTGGGAGAAGGCCTTCATTCAGTTAGTGGAGGTTTGTCTTCTGACCTCATGGTTCATCAACCTAATGTTCTTCTAAGTATTCCCTGAATCTTTTTTTGTTATGTGGAAAAGAATAGCTAGCATGTGGCAGTGCATGTTATGAATCATATTATTTTAGGTCTCACCACTTAATATGTTAAGTTTATGGGTGTTTGAGTCTGCTTGCACGCACCTCGACAAATCCCATGGGGTCTGAAGTTAACAGCTAGGCAAACCTCCAGTGGTCCTGAGGGAACTCCAACTGGTGACCACTGGGGAGCAAACCCAAGGCCTTGCCAGTTGAGTTAACTCTAATGGTTTGGTCATGTTGAGTTCTTAAGGACTTTTGGTAGGTATTACATAAACATACAGCTTGATTGATGAAGTTTCATAGCTTAAATATGATGCGTATGTTGTGGGTTTTGTTATAAAATCTCTCCCTATCATACATGCTTGCAATCATACACCAATATGCTTGAAATCTGAACTAATCTTTTGTATCAGGATGAGCTCCTGCCAATGCTGGAATCCAAGAACTTGACATTATCCTATTCCTCTGAAAGCTCTATCGAAGAAGAATTGAAAAGAGAAAGTAGTGCAGATGCTATAACAATTTTGGTGAGAGCATGATCTATGATTGTGTGTGTGTGTGGTTGATCTTTGTCCATCATGTGATGACATGCCATTTAAAATTTTGATACATCAACTTTAAAGACCATAATTTTTTTCAATTATGCGAGATTTGAGCACTTGTTTTAATTGGTTCTCTATTTTTCAGATAAGCTACCTTGTGATGTTTGCGTATATATCCTTAGCATTGGGTGACACTCCTCGCTTCACTTCCTTTTATATTTCTTCCAAGGTATTTCTCATGTAGCAAAGCCTTTAATTATTAATATTCTTAAGATAATCATTATTAAATTCTAATGATCAGATGTTTTTATATAATCATTATTCTTTTAAATGCTGATATCCATTACCTTTTCATGTTGAATTACATCTATTTTTTTCCAGGTATTGCTTGGACTTTCTGGGGTAATGCTTGTGATGCTCTCTGTTATTGCATCAGTTGGTTTTTTCAGTGCAGTTGGAGTAAAATCTACACTCATCATCATGGAAGTGATCCCTTTTCTTGTTTTGGCTGTAAGTTTCATCATGTTCTCTATCCTGTGTACCCTTCACTTGTTTGTATATGAACAAAAATAAAGTCCAAATGAGCATTAGGGTGCTCTACTCTTCGGCACGGGGGGACCCCACATTCAGGTGGGATATATTGAGCTCCTTTGGTTTGGCTCAAACATGAAACTTACACATAGTGAATCTGCTATCTCTTTTGACAGGTTGGGGTAGACAACATGTGCATTCTGGTACATGCAGTTAAAAGGCAGCAGATGGAATTGCCTTTGGAAGACCGAATAAGTAATGCACTTGCAGAAGTTGGACCATCTATAACTCTAGCCAGTCTATCTGAAGTCCTAGCATTTGCTGTCGGAAGCTTTATTCCTATGCCCGCTTGCCGGGTATTTTCTATGTTTGCAGGTCAGCCGTTGATTTTTTTTCCTTTTATTAGTTTATTGTGAGCGAATTGCAGAATACTTGGAATTTAGGCAGGATGAGGTTTAACATCTCTTTATATAATCCTGTTATGCCCCAGAACCTACCTTGGTGTGGGATATTCTGGGTTCGTTTGGTTTTGTTTAGATAATATTGTTATGGACTTATTGTTTAAGTTCTGTTTGCATATGTATTTCAGCACTGGCTATTCTTTTGGACTTTCTTCTGCAAGTTACTGCCTTTGTAGCCTTAATTGTTTTTGACTTTCTGAGAGCGGAGGACCACAGGGTTGATTGCTTTCCTTGTATTAGAATTTCCGGTTCGTTTGTTGATACCGATCAAGGTTCGTGAAAGAACTATCTTATTATCATATACCACATTAATTATCTTTTGTTCTTTTTGTTTGCATAACATTAAAGGTATCTGAATCCATCGCTGTTGTAGGTAGCGATCAGAGAAAATCTGGATTACTTGCTCGATATATGAAGGTACATAACATGTTTTCCACAATTTATTTAGTCTGAACGAGGGTATAATTGTAGAGGCTAGAAGTTGTAAGTAGGAAATGATCAAACAAAATGAATTTATTCTCTTGGATATAAAAAAAGGAGACATCAATCATTTATAGGGAAAACTACATGAAAATGCAACTTACTTTGGTCTAATTCCTATTTTGTGTAGCGTACTTTTATGACCTTTATTTTGGTGCCTCACATTTGACATCTTAAACATTTAGGTACCTACTTTACATCTGAGAATTGCATGAAGATGCAACATATTTTTGGTCTGATTTCTATTTTCAGTAATGTACTTTATTCTAAATGTTTAAGATTTCACATCCGAGGTACCAAAATGAAGGTTTTGAAACTATGCTACCAAATTGGAGTCAGACCAAAGTACATTGCATATTTCATGCAATTTGCTCTTATATATGTTCAGTATGAGTGTGTTAACAGTGTTCTTTGTGAAATACACCATAGCATGTCTTTTTGTAAGTCTAATTAACTTTATGGGCTCATGTTGTTTTTCATTTTATGCTATTTCAGGAGGTTCATGCACCCATCCTAGGTATATGGGTGGTCAAATTGGTAGTCGTTTCTGTGTTTGCTGCATTATCATTGGCCAGCATCGTAAGTTGTTTCATTGGAGTATTTTTAGACTATGTTTGGCAAACTAGCTGATAAGCTGGCAGTTGGCTAAGTTAGCTGTTAGCCGAAAAGCTAGTTGTAGGCTAATAAGCTAACTCTTAGCTGATATGCTAGTCACGTTTGGTAAAAACTAGTTGACAAGCTAGTCACATTTGGTAAAAAGTAGCTGACAAGCTAGATGATAATGTAAAATGACCTAAAAGGACATGTTTTTGATAATTTATGTAAAACATAAGTGGCATAACGAAAATGGGGCCTTTTTTCGATAGGCTTAAAAAATAAGCTAGCTTATAGTTGTCAGACATGGCCTTATTCTGTTCTCCAAGAGTTTTCATCCCTCACCCCTCTGATATATTTTGTCTTAATTATTTACAAGGCGTTATGTACAAGGATTCAACCTGGTTTGGAGCAACAAATAGTTCTGCCCCGAGACTCATATCTTCAGGTATAAGCTCGTGATACTCCTCTTTATAAAAACATGCACTCATGTGGAAATCTGTCAACAATTAATCATTTTAAGTCTTGAACATCATTTTCTCCTGCAGGGTTATTTCAATAATGTCTCAGAGTATCTCAGAATTGGCCCACCTCTTTATTTTGTTCTCAAAAACTATAACTACAGGTACACTGGTTTTTATTTCTTTCCCTTTATGCATTCTGTTAACTTTTTGCTGTTAATTTCTGGTTCTCCTCGGGAATATTTTTCACATTAAGATTTTCCTGTTTTCTCAGTTCAGAATCACGACAAACAAATCAATTGTGTTCCATCAATCATTGTGATTCAGACTCCCTTTTGAATGAGGTATGGGTGTGGTTATTTATTGTTAGCTACTCTTGGAGACTATTGGTTCGTTCTCTTAGCTTTTTTACTTCTGCATACCTTCTATGTTATATCACTTTCTTCCGTTTCTATATTTCTTTAATTTCAAAGAAGCTGGAATATTTTATGCACCTTTTGCTGATTGATCAACTATGGAAAGCACTTGAAAGTATTTATATGTGTTTCTTGAGCTGACACATACATAGTTGAGGCATAGATCTTATTCCTCTATATGTGATAACTATTTCTGCTGACATGTGCAGATATCAAAAGCATCTCTGGTACCTACATCAAGCTACATAGCTAAACCTGCTGCTTCATGGCTTGATGATTTTCTTGTTTGGGTATCTCCAGAAGCTTTTGGCTGCTGCAGGAAGTTCACTAATGGAAGTTATTGTGCCCCTGATGATCAGGTTCAACTACTTCCTTTCTTGCTTCCTTTATTACAAAACTGTGTTTATCTTATCTCGGTTGATGCCATCCATAAATGGTGTTAAATCATTCAGCTCAGTAAGAAGTTAGTAATTGGATTAAAATATTGGTATAGCTGGTTCGCGAAAGGAAAAGTTGTTTTGTGCTTCAAAATAAAATATACATCATGTTTTAGATAGTTGTCAACTTCCTCTTTTGGATAACCTTGGGTGTCCAGGTCAGCTTGCATGCACCTTGACCTATCGGACTCATGTTTATCATACTATATGTGATGCATTTATTCTATTGTATTACTTCTGTAAGTGTTCGTCTTGAAAGCGTATGATGTTTCTTTCAGCCTCCTTGTTGTTCTATGAGTGATGGTTCGTGTAGCGTAAATGGAGTTTGCAAGGACTGTACCACGGTAACTACTATAAATTTATCACCGGGTTTGTATCATTTCATTATGCTAAAAAGATTTTAAATGTATCTAGCATGTACGCTTTACTTTTTCTTATATGTAACATCCTGCAATATCTACTTGGCCATGGTGCATATTAGTAGGATGCTTAACTGAAATTTGGACATTCAGTGTTTTCGTCACTCAGATTTCCAAAATGAACGTCCAACTACACCACAATTCAAGGAGAAGCTTCCATGGTTTCTCAGTGCTCTTCCTTCCGCTGATTGTGCAAAAGGCGGCCATGGGGCTTACACCAATAGCGTGGAACTTAAAGGTTAGTGCATCTCCATGTAGTTAAGAACATGATAGAACTGCTTGCCTATTTACTGACTCCCAGACTCCCAGTGATCTACCTCCCCCATGATGACCGTAGGACTGGTGCAGTGCGGGCGCTCCAGAGGGTGGCGTCAGTTGCGTCTACCCGTTTTTTATCTGCTTGTGTAATTCTCATTGTATAGCTTGTGACACTTCCATCAGCATGACCATAGTGGTTACATTTTGTCTTCAGGCTTTGAGGATGGTGTTATTCAAGCATCCTCCTTTCGTACATATCACACACCCCTGAACAAGCAGGTAGCAAGAAATATATTAACCTACAACTGACTAGTTTATATCATCCTCTTAACTAATTAGATTTTTTTAATTCAGGTTGATTTTGTCAATTCAATGAGGGCTGCACGAGAATTTAGCTCAAGGGTTTCCAATTCCTTGAAGGTAATACAACACTTAAGTAGCGGAACCTCTGGTTAAGCAGGAAATGCCTCCTTATCAACCTGTTTTATATTTTTATATACTTTTTATACTGTATTTTTTGTTCTAACACTTGCTTTGATATGCAGATTGAAGTCTTCCCTTATTCTGTATTTTACATGTTCTTTGAGCAATATCTTGACATTTGGAAGACGGCATTGATTAGTCTTGCAGTAGCTATTGGTTAGTGATTTCCTCTATACAAACTTCTAGTCTTCTGCTCACTTCTATAAGCTAAATGGTCCTGCTTACTTCTCAAGAACAATATATTATTTTCCCATGATTTTACAGGTGCCGTATTTATTGTCTGCCTGGTTATTACATGTAGGTATGTTCCATTTCCGTTATTGGGGGTACTGGCATATTTTATCTTTCTTAACCAAGTTTGGACTCCTTCCTAGGATGTACGCTCATGCATTTCTCTCTCTGTTGCTTCTTTTTCAGCTTCTGGAGCTCGGGTATAATTGTACTTGTGCTGGTGATGATTCTTGTGGACCTCCTGGTATAACTCATTCTTGTTGCTTTCTGAAACTCAATTATGGTTGGACAAGGGGGGCGGGGGAATGGGTGTCAAAGTCAGCTTGTACGCACCTCGATTAATCCCATGGGCCCCTGAAGTTAACAGCTAGGCAAACCTCCAATGCCCCTGAGGGGACTCGAATTGGTGACCACTTGGGAGCAAACCAGGGGTGGAGGCAGGAAATTAATTTAGGGGGAGCCCAAAAGCAATATAAGAAAATTTATGGGTTTGAGTAGAGATGCACAAAAGTATGGTTAACCAAGTTTGGACTAAAAATGACGGGATCGGTAAAAAAAAAACCAGTTAAAGAGGCCTGACACAAGGACCGGTTATGGGGTTAAGACCCGATTTGGTTCTTAGAGAACCGATTCTTTTGGGATCGGTTAATGTGCATTTCTAGCTTCGAGGATGGAAAGACATGTTAAAAAATATGTTCTTTTAAATAATTATCCATACATAATAGCTATTAAAAAAATGTTACAATGTAGGAGGGAGTAAGAAAGAATGTGCATGAATGAATAAAAATATAAACAAATTTTTTTTTTAAAAATACATAAGAAAAACTTTTATTAATTAAAGTCCTTTATCCAAATTAACACCATAAGTAAACATAAATTTTGAACCATAAAATACATAATTTGTGGTGCAATTATCGATACAAACTATGATGATATGCATATTTATTTAGTTCTTTTGGAGATTGAGGGTGTGCATTGGCACCCCCTGGTCCCTTCGAGGCTCCGCCAGTGGAGCAAACCGAGGCCTTACCAGTTGACCTACCCCTAAGGGTTTCATGGGGAAGTCTTATAGATTAATAGTATGTCAAAATGATTTATACCTCTATTCTATGCAGGGAGTCATGGCTGTTCTGAACATCCAACTGAATGCTGTGTCTGTTGTTAACCTTGTGATGTCGGTGGGTATTGCTGTCGAGTTTTGTGTACATATAACACATGCTTTCATGGTAAGTAAAAGCAAAAACAAAAGCAAGATGAGGCTCAAACTTAACTATGTGTTTATTTTACCTATTTGATGCATAATCATACAAGTTCAATTTCTTTCTTTTATTAGTTTGGTTTTAGACTCATACTTTAAACACACATAAGTGCACCCCCATATCCTTAATTTTTCAATTGCTAAATTATGCACCACACCGAGTCCCTATTCTTGACATCCTCCTCGAAATTGCACGTTATGGGGTTGTTCACATCTTGGTCTCTTGAACCTTACCACCTACAGTAGCTGCTTGGAACAAGAAAAACTTTAGATTTCGCCAAAATGGGCTAGAGTGAAGGGTTTTAAATACGTATGCTATTAGAAGAGGTTCTCAAGGTATACAGAATGATTGTGCGCCACGACCATTACAGTTTTTTAGGGCTCATAGTTTTTCAGGACGGATAAAGGTAGCTGATTTCATGTAGGACTGATGTTGGGGAGAGGGGGTGGGAGGGTAGAGGACTAAAGGGTAGGCTCCATTTGGAAGTCATGATGGTGAATGTCACCTTGGCAATGAGTATTGATCATCTTGCATTCTTTCTCTTAGAATTTTGAGATAGGGGTATCCTTCTACAACTTTTTGTGGGGGAAGTTGTTGTATATTCACATGGAGACAAGATCGTTTATTATTCTTTCTCCAAGAAACAGTGATTGCTTGGATATAGACAACATGTACATATCATACTCCGTCCATCCCATGAATGATGCAAGCTGTAATTAGTCCATGAGAAGTGTGACTTAGTCAAATGACTAAAAGAGCAATCTTCTTGACCCCAAAATCAGTATCATTGATTCTTTGAATCGAGGATAAGGGGCGAAAAGGTAAAATTCATCTTGAAAAACAGAACAATTTAATGGATATGCTGAAACAGAAAATTGTTGCCCTTTTCATGTGATGGAGGGAGTTTTAAGTATAAAAGATGATGATCTATAGTTTGTACCTGTTTCCATAAGCAGTTAAGATTTGTAAGGAGACATCTACAATCTGTTATATATTTTATTAAGAAAACTGAAAATTATCATGCACTACCTTGGTGGTAGAAGGGTCATTTCACACTTCTATTTTACTTCGGTGTCAGATGAGCAGCGGAGATAGAGATCAACGGACAAAGGAGGCTTTGGGTACAATGGGTGCTTCAGTTTTCAGGTTTCTAATTTTCTTTTCATTTGTTTTTCCTACACTCCAACCTTTGGATTCATGTAACTAAAAACGAGAAACATATGCAACTATACAGTGGCTCTATCATTCCTCACTTGATTTGATTCATGAAATTTCAATTAACATACCTCACAATGGATGCATCTATCATATAATTCTCAAATACCAACTTGTTTTTCTGTCTTTGCTATTGCAGCGGAATAACAATTACAAAGCTAGTAGGAGTAATCGTCCTTTGCTTCTCAAGAACCGAAATATTTGTGGTATCACTCTGATCTTGAGTATTCTTTGGGAAAAATAAGAATTAAGTATCTCCCCCTGCACACCCCACCCCTGTGTCACCCTCAACCCCATGAGCCCAACGTAGTGTGACGAGAGTTGTCTTCCACAAACACCATTTTTTCCTTGGTTCGTATTTAGTGTAATAGAGATTTTTTTATTTCTCAATCAATGCAACTAAAATTTAAAAAATTCCTATTTTTAATGTAACAAAGTTTTCAAAAGTTCCTTATTTTTTACCCATTTTGACGGGTAAACTGTTGATCTTGTTACCTTTGATAACGCGAATTTCGTGTTTATCATCCACTTTGTCGTAAACCTTTCATAAACAGGTATCTCGTTGTCAAATGTTACAAGATCAACATGTTACAAGTCAAATTGGGTACAAAATAGAAATTTTTGAAACTTTGGTACATACATTGACAAAAAAATGGTTCTTCGTTACACTAAATAGGAATTAAACCAAACTTTGTTGCATTTTGCACTTTCAAAAAAATATTCTACCTATATATGGCATTTATCATATGTGGAATCTTATACAATGAATAGTGTTTATACAAGTGTGGTCTTACTCCTTGTGTGTGAGATTAGGTTCTTACAATCACTATGTATCTTGTGGTGTTCCACAAGTTAAGATTCCGCACATCCATATATATGAGCTGCTTTCTTTAATACTCAAAATTTGTTTTTGGGATGCAGGTTTATTACTTCCAAATGTACCTGGCCTTGGTTCTTCTTGGTTTCATGCATGGCCTGATTTTCTTACCAGTAAGTTATAAGCAATCTTGTTTAGTTCTTGCCAACATACTATTTCCTGTTTTTTTTCTTTTAATTTGCAAGCCAAGTTTCTTCACGAAAACGACCTCCCTACTCCTTGGGACGGGCAAAAGTCTGTGTATATCGTACCCCCTGACCTATAGAACTAGGACGTTGAAAAACTATGAAAAAGAATGACCGACACTGCTATACTTTAACGCTATGTTTGGCAATTGGCATGCTGTAACTTATGGTGGGATTGAATTGCATTTCACCCAGTACTCTATGGATCAATACTGGAAACAATCTATGTCCATAGCTCATGCACCTATATCACGTGGAATCCCGTCAGATTACTCTTCAAAAGAGGTCAAAGTCTAGCGATGTGGGACTCCAACACGCCCCTTCCAATGAATGTTAGATGGGTACAAATGCCCCAGAGTGTCAAGTGCTTTATACACCTTGGGTCTGATACCATGTTCAAATATGTGAAACCCCATTATATTATGCTGCAAAAGAGCCCTCGAGGAGATAAGGGTTCAAGCCTAGTTGATGTGGGACTACAACACTGGGGATGCCTAAACGTGAGTGTCGTGTGACCTCACTTGCAAGAAATCAACTCATTGCAAAGTATGTCGCTCCTAAACAATATTCTCATGTATGAGTCTTGGGACGGATATGCTATCGAAGATAGTTATCATGCATAAGGATAATACAACTCGGTGTAGTGTTTATGGCTCCAAAATGATATTAACATGTCTAATACTCAAGACAAGCTACATAATTCAAGTTAATGAACTCACATCGAAAATGCATGTTAAATGATGTATATATAGTCCCCACGACTTTAGCTTAGCGCGTAAGTAAGTGAGCATCTTTGCAGAATAAGTGAGAGGTCTATGGTTCAACTATAGGCACCATCCATCTCCCCCTAGGTCCCACGATTCACCTTCCCATTGATATCCGTGGGACCAGTATGGTGAAGGTGCTCCAGAGGATATCGTTATGCCATTTTTTGTAGAATGATGTGTATATATATATATAGGGTAGGGTTCACGTGAGACTAATGGTTTTTCGTGAGACCCGTAAGACGAATTTATGTTCATTGATCAACTTTATAAGCTAATGATCTAATGGTCTAAAGTTGCACGGTGGCAATTTTGTGATTATTGAGAGTCTCGTGGCAATTTTGTGATTATGAATGTTCAGATTGTAGATCTAATCCAAGGGTTGAGAATTGGTCTCACGAAAAACCCTTGGTCTCACATGATCCCAAGTATATATATATATATATATATATATATATATATATATACACACAGAGAGAGAGAGAGAGAGTTTCACAGGAAAACCCCTCAAAAAATGAAAAATTGAGGAACATTCTTATAACCCTTCATTTGTAAAGTATGTACATGTGCATACAAGTAATTAAAGTTTTTCCTAGTTTAATGCACTTGTGCATGTTATGTGCATAGAGAACAAATTGCTTACAAATTATTTGCATGCACATGTGCATACCGTATAGATGAACAATTACTAGGATATTCCTTAGTTTTTCATTTTTATGCGGTTTTCCCAAAACCTGACCCTGTTTCTATAATATTTGCTTACGAGATCTATGTAACTTTTGATTTATTAAATACAAATGGAACTTCCAATTTGCAGGTGGTACTAAGCATGTTTGGCCCACCTTCAAGACAAGTTCTCGCAGAGAGGAAAGAAGACAACAAGTCTTCGGTTTCATCACCGTTATAACTTGTGCTACAGAAAGTAGGTTATCTCGCTCTCATTCTCACAGGTAAATTTCTCCGCGAGTCCCATACATACCTCATCTACGAAAAGCCGAGCGTTAACCCATATGTAATGTGTAAAGTGCTAGCATATATAGTGGTACCTTAAGTTGTAACAAAAGATGAACATATATAGAAGTAACTTAATATGTATCCATTTATCTAATTTTGAACTACTTATAGTTTGTAATTTCATTTATGGATTCAGTTTTTGATATGTGAGGGGTCATTTACCGGCACACATTGGATATATACTAACCAGGTAAGAGTGCTTATTAGGTAAGAGGTTCAATCTGAATAAGGTCCGACTAAAGGTGATCGTTTACGAAATGTTTTGTAGTAATAGCAAATAAATACTTTCATCATCTTGGGCGGACACGGTAAATGAAATAATAATGCTAACCAGGTAGATGCTTTGTTAGCACATCAGTCGGATCGGTTTTTAGATAAATCAAGTGATGTTGATCTAATCAACACCATTCACTAGTAGGTAAATAGGCCCTAAGACTCCATAGAGCTCTTCGGGGTGCAGTGGCGGATCCATGAATTTTTTTGAGTGAGTGTACCTTTAAGGTGGATCAGACGCCCATGAAGTCACGAGTTTGGTCAGAGTGAAAAATTCGATGCGGTTTTACTCGAGTGAAAGTCAATTTGATAGATTATCCAATGTGTTATTAAATTTGATTTAGGGGTTTGTCAAAGTGATTTAGGATTGAAAGAGATTAGAGTAAGGGGCCGTTTACCTAAACACTTACCCATTAAGCATTTACCGGTAAAATTTAATACTATCGCTTACTTATCGGGTAAGATTTTATTCACTAATACGCATCATATGCAACAATTTATCCCGGTAAGTGCTAACCATGGAAAGAGTCCTCGTTCTCACCGGAAGATTTTTAGTCCTTGCCATATTCATCCGGTGAAGTAATGTGACTTGATAAACGCTTACCCGGGTAAGCGTTTGGTAAACAACACCTAAGAATAGAATTTATTGGACCAAGTCTATTCATGTTTGAAACATGGTATTAAAATATTTCGGAGCACCCTCAAAATCAAGCCGGTGCACCTTCAAGACGTTTAATTCTTTTTTCCTTTCTGACAATTGGACCCGCTCAGTCCTTAGTAGGTCCCCCTTATCAGGGTGAATAAGGCTTTGAGATTTCCTTAACAGACAAAACGAACAATATCTGTTGATTACGATATCGTTATATTTTTATATCCATTTATTATGCACGGAAAACTCTCAGTTATATGCTTTTATTCTCATGATTATATAATTAATATCAGGTAAATCATTTCTATTCAAATGCTTACTCGGTAAGTGCTTACCAATAGGAGTCGACACTATAATTTATTTAGATGCGTAAGATTTTAGTACATCAAAGCATATCGAATGCAACAATTTACTAAGTAAGCGCTTACCTCGGTAAGAGTCGTCATCCTCATTTACCGGGTAAGACTCTCCATCATTCTCATTGCTCTTACCCGGTAAATTCTTGGCCCTTTCCATGTTAATCCGATGAGGAAATTTATACGTTAATCACTTACCAAGTAAGTGTTTAGTAAACGGCCCCTAAATCATCTGGTAAAAAAATAGCAATATCTTGTGAATCATTTTATTATTTCTTTTAGTTTTAATAAAATTATCTGGTAAAAAATATCAATTTCTTGCTGTATGTGAGTTTTTGGTCTCCTAAGAGATCAATGGTTCAAATCTCACCTAAGACGAGAAAGGTGTGTAAGTTTTTTTTGTTCTGTTTGCTATATATAAATATTATATATTCAAAAAAAGTATTATACTGTTCTTAAATAAAATAAAGCTTGTTATGGTTACCAGAACAAAAAAAACTTACACACCTTTCTCGTCTTAGGTGAGATTTGAACCCTTGATTTCTTAGGAGACCAAAAACTCACATACAGCAAGAAATTGATATTTTTTACCAGATAATTTTATTAAAACTAAAAGAAATAATAAACTATATGTAAGAAGAATTTACATAAGAATATAACTGATAGAGACTCATATAACAAAGTAATTATTTATTTATTTAGATACGACAAAATGATCGGGACCGGGTTCATTGATATTATAGTCGTGGTTGATGTCATCATTAAATTTGTTTCTTACAGTATAAAATTTTATAACTCTTAACAAGATTATTACTGTGATTTATTTTTTATTGTCACTGAGCATCGTTGCCCAAAAAAATGAAAAGGTGCAATAGCATATCAAACCTTAAATTTTAGTTTTAACGGTTAATGATGGTAGATATCGTAATGGTAAGTCGTTGAAATATGAATTAATTTATATTTTATACTATATTTATAACATTTATTTCATGTCATTATGGTAAAAATTCATAGATCTGCTGCTGCAAATAATCAGATATAACTTTGGTTTGGTTTGACTGATACGAAACGAATTCAGAACCATAGAATCAACATGATCTTGTATTAGAAGTTCAAAACAAAAACCATCACCAATTTGGCTGGAACAGATTTGCCGACCTTTGATTGATTCTATATAAAATAAAATAAAAACGTTATAATAATTAAATATTTTAGATTTATATTCAATGAAGATCTTTATTTAAATATACAAATTGAAAATAGACCTTTCTTTAAATATTTAGAGATACTAGAAGCGTACTCGCGCAATGCAGCGAGATACATCATGTTTTTAATATTTCATTTTATTCTTTATCTCAGTCGATGTTATAATATAGCTTTATGTGATTTTGAGAAAGCGATAATGTTTTTGTTTTTGAATAAAATATATGTTTGACGATATCATAAAAATTTGACAAAAATATATCGATATTAGTATCAAATT